GTGTGTGTGTGTGTGTGTGTATGTATGTATGTATGTACACTTATTGGGTTCCAGGCACAACCCCTGACCCAAATATGGCCCCTTGACTTCAGAAAACTGCAGGCATGAGATAAAGCCTAAGACACTTGTTCTCAACCTGTGATTGTGACCCCATTGGGGGTTGAAGGACCCTTCCCTCTAAAAAAACCATCGAAAACACAGATATTTACATTACAATTCATAACAGCAGCAAAATTACAGTTATAAAGTAGAAACAAAAATAATTTTATGGTTGGGAATCACCACAGCATGAAGAACCGTGTTAAAGGTTGGAAGGTTGAGAACCACTGAACTATGAGGAATGTCCTTCTGGGGCAAAACAAGGCCACAAGGGCAGAGAAGCGAAGAAGGAATAACTCTAATGAGGGGATCAGAGATAGCCTTTGCTCTGACTCCTTTGCAGTGGTTTCTCTAGTAGCTGGCTAAACAATACATGAATAGCAGTGGGGGAAAATAGAAGTTGCTCGTTTTTGAAGTGAACCCAGTCTTACCCCTGTCTACGATTGCCTCCTTTGTATAGTCTTTCCCCTGTCTATGATTGCCCCCTCCTTTGCAGAGTCTTGCCCCTGTCTACAATGGCCTCCTTTGCAGAGTCTTGCCCCTGTCTACGATGGCATCCTTTGCAGAGTCTTGCCCCTGTCTACGATGGGCTCCTTTGCAGGCCATGGTGCCACAGCTGCACTTGTGGCAGCAAACCCTCATCAAGCCCCTCACACATTTAAAAGTAAACATCAACCCAAAGCAAGCAGTACAGCACTGACAGTCCAAGGACAGTAAGAAAACCCAGCCTGAACCCACATTACTGACCTTCCTTCAAGTTTCCACTCAAAATCTGCTTGTGTCTAAAAACGAAAGTGTAGAACACAGCTTGGCAGGCTGAATAAAATGGTCCATGGAGTGCAACATCACAAAAAGCCTTTGTTCCTGAATCCTGGTTATTAAGATACATGTGCAACCAGTTAACCAAAAGATCCAGGCATGACTTTACGGTGCTGCAAAGAGAAGAAAAGTCAGTGTTACTGGATTCATCAGAAAGCTAGAGACAGAAACACACACCTGTCTTTCACTATCCATTATATAAGGCTCAACTACGACCCACAGGCACAGTGGTAAGCAATTGCTTCACAAACATGAGGTCCTGAGTTCCATCCCAGCACCAAAAACCTTACCCATCGGCAGAGAAACAGAAGGAAAAGGACAGAAGGTGGGAAGCCTTCCAATTGTTTATTGTTTTCAGTTTTTTTTTTTGGTTTTTGTTTTTTTTCTTTAGACAGTGTTTCTCTGTGTAGCATTGACTGTCCTGGAACTCATTCTGCAGACCAGACTGACCCTGAACTCACAGAGAGCCTCTACCTCTGCTTTCCCAGTACTGGGACTAAAGAATGCCTTCCAATTCAGTGAGGCAGAGCTTACTTGGGCAGAGCAAGAGGCCTTAGGGATGTCCCAAGGAGCGAGGCCCAGGAGCACAGGCCTGTAATTCCCCACACTTAGAAGACTGAAGGAGGTAGGAGCTGAGGCCAGCCTGGGTTCCAGAGCAAGACTCAAAAAACAAAATGGAACAAAACAAAAGACAAAAATACTTTCAGGGATGGAGCTGAGCTCCAACTCAGCCAAGACTTCCTGGCTTAGCTCCCAGCCAGACAGTGCTGTGGCTAAGGATCATGCTTCTTCCCATCTGGACTCAGAAACTGGAACCACAAGACTAAGCTGATTGGGGGATGGCTTAGCAGCATCTGTGCCAGTCTCTTGTGGAGTCCCTGAAGAAACCAGTCTCCTGAGTCTTAATGCTGGGGGTGGGACCCAGGGCTTTGCAAGTATCGAATGTGCTTTACCACTGAGCTCCATCCCATCCTAATTTCTTTAAAAAGGGTTTTGTTTAGACCAAACAGACACAATTAATTTGGAAGGCAAATGAAAAACAACAAACCTACAAAAAAATATCAAGCAATATACAACACGGTGCTACCCATGAACAGAGACAGGCTTTCAGGTTCAAAACACAAACAGATGCCTCATGTACCTATTATCCAAATAGAGACCTGTCCTTCTCAAACCACTTCTTAGAAATAAAAGCACCTTGCATTATAGTCAACAGATTCCCCCCCTGGCTTTACAAAGACAGATAAAAAAAATAAGACCTATTTCTTTGACTTGAGACAATATTATAATCTCCCTACAGCAAAACATTAAAAAAAGCATTTGGAAAATTAGGTTACTTACATAAGAGGAATAAATTTAGCTCTTGCCAAAAAGCTCCCAATGTAATTCGCAGCAGCTTGCCTGATGATGGCGGGGTTATTTGGATCCTGCAACTTTTTCCAAAGATGTTCCAAAAATGCTTCTGCAAATCCCTGTAACAAGAGGCTGCTGGCTTGATATGTCTAATGCTGAAATTATTCTGGCTTTCAGCACCCTGAAGGCATTACCTAACAATGCAATTATACTGCTAAATAAGGAATAGAGAGGTCACAGTTCTTATTTAAAAGCAAAACCCTAGTAGACCCAGCTCTCCTATCACCCCTCATCCCTTTGTGTTAGACACTGTTACCTAGAAACACTGATACCTGGGAACCCAGTGAACCACATGGGGCTAGGACTCAGGTAGGCTATTTCCATTCTCTTTGTCACCCACTACAGTCTCTCCAGGCTCATCCCCAGCCCTGTAGCAGCCGGCTACAGCCTCTCCTCCCTCCATCTCTATTCCTCCGGGACTCCAGCCATGCCTTGGCATGCATGCACCTTTCCTTCTCCCTATGGACCTTCTCAGCACACCACCCCCTTCTAACCCATCCTCATTCCTTTGTGTCAGCCCCCACACCTAGAAATACTTTCTATCCCAAAGGCCCCCAGAGGCCATACCTGAAAGGATAGGTGAGTCACATTAAGATCTCTCCATTAAGATCTCTCAGTGACAACCTGCTTGCAGGAGCCCCTCTACCTCCAACTCTGAATCCATACACAGGGTATACCTAGCCCTTTCATCTCTGTCTCTCTTCAATTTTGTAACTTAATGTACCCTACTTCTTCGATCCCCTGATCCCACCATATCTCCAACTCCCTGTGGACCCCACACCTCTAGGTGTGAACAGGATCACCTTAGATCTTTCTTGAAGGCCCCTCAGCCTTTTCTCCTAGCCTATCTCTATTCCTTCCTTTCTGCCACCCACCCACCCACCTCCAGAAGCACTTACTACAAGGCAACCCACAGCCATCACTACCTTAAGATCCAGAGAGGACAATAGCAACCAAGGAATGGAATACCCACTCAACAAAGACCAGACCAGATATAAACACCAAGAATCTCCTCAATCAATCCCAAACCCTGGATGGCTAAACACCATTGTAAAACACAAATATTAACAGTCAAGACAATACGCCTCCACCAGAACCCAGTAGCCCTGCTAGGGTAGACCCTGAGAAATGCAACACAGCTGAAGCACAAGACAAAAACTTGAAAACAGCAATTATGAATATGTTCAAGAACCTTAAAGACATGAATAAATCCCTTAACGAAGTCTGTGAAAACACAAACAGTGGAATAAAATAATGAAAACAGTTCAAGACATGAAAGTAGTAGAAAAAAAAAAAAAAGGCCAGGGGGGGTAGTGCAAACCTTTAATTACAGAAAGAGAAAAAAAAAAAAATCTTGGGTTAAGTCTAACTAAGCAACTGAAAGACTTACATAAAAAAAGCTTTGCACACTGAAGAAATTACCAGAAGATGGAAAGATCTCCCATGCTCATGGATCAGTATGATTACTATAGTGAAAATAGCCACTCTACAAAAAGCAGGGTTGTTGTGAAATATTTGCACACTGTGTGATTGGTGTAATGGTGTAATAAAGAGCTGAATGGGTGATGCTAGGCATGAGGTATAAACGGGATTTGGGGGAGAGAAAGGAAGAGGAGGAATCTAGGCACAGAAGAAGGAGACACAGAAGAAGCAGGAAGGGCAATTTGTGACAAAATGCAGATTAACAGAAATGGGTTAATTTAAGTTATAAGAGCTAGTTAAAAATAAGCTTAAGCTAAGCCAAGCTTTCATAATAATAAGTCTCCATGTCATTAATTTGGGAGCTGGTGGTACAGAAAAAGACTGGTTATGCAGAAGAGCTAAAGTGATCCTGAATAATAAAAGAAGTGCTGGAGGTGTCACCATCCCCAATCTCAGATGGTCCTACAGAGTTATAGTAATCAAAACTGCATGGTAATGGCACACAAACAGAAATGTTTATCACTGGAATAAAACTGAAGATCCAGATAAAAACTCACACACCGACTGACAAAGAAGCCCAAAATATACATTGGAAAAAAGTATCTTCAACAAATTGTACTAGTCAAGTCAAACTGGATGGCTACATGTAGAAGAATGCAAACAGATTCATATTAATTGCCCTGCACGAAACTCAACTACAAATGAATCAAGGACCTTAACATAAGGACAGCTACTTTGAATCTGATAAAAGAGAAAGTAGGGTATAGTCTTGAACTTATTGGCACAGGAGAAGACTTTCTGAACTGCACAGTGATAGGAAAGGCACTAACAGTAATGGAACATCATGAAATCAAAAAGTCTTTAATACTAGCACTCCGGAGGCAGAAGCAGCTGGATTTCTGAGTTCAAGGACAGACTGGTCTACAGAGCAAGTCTCAAGACAGTCAGGGCTACACAAAGAAACTCTGCCTTGGAAAAACAAACAAACAAAAAGCCCCACAAATATCTCTGGGGTCTGCAGGCCAGGGATAGCCCAGTTGGTAGAGTTTGTTTCCCTTGTAAGAGCTGGGTGTGACTCTCGGTACCACCAGAAGGAAGGAAAAGGGCACCATCTAGTGACCAAAGGCAGAATACCACCTTCAATGTATCTGTACAGTACTTGATGCTACTCCAGTTTTTAAGGGGAAAATTGTGGGATAAAGTAATAAAAGAGGCTAAAGAAACAGGCTGGGGATTAGGAGCACATACTGCTCCACAAACAAACAAACAAACAAAACAAACAAACAAAAATACGGAAGTTCACCTGCAGGGAATCTGAGGCTTTTTTTTTTTTTTTTTTTTTAAATGTTTTTTTGGGCAGAGTTTCTGTGTAGCTCTGGCTATCCTAGAACTCATTCTGTAGACCAGGCTGGCCTCCAATTCAGAGATCCACATAGGTGTGAACCACCACTGCCTGGCCTGGGGCCCTCTTCTAAATGCTATGGTCACAGGTACTCACACATACCCACACACGAACATGCATAGGTACTGGGGCCCTCTTCTAAATGCTATGGTCACAGGTACTCACACATACCCACACACGAACATGCATAGGTACTCACAATTTTAAAAAAATAATAAACTTTTAGCTGGGCACGGTGGTACATGTCTCTAATCCCAGCACTTGGGAGGTAAAGGCACTCAGATTTCTGTACTCCAGGCTAGCCAGGATTAGATGAGACCCTATAAATCACACATTCACTCACTCACTCACTCACTCACTCACTCACTCACTCACTCACTCACTCAACTCTCACTCACTACGGCCATGCCATTTTACTTACCAATTTGAAGCTGCAAAGGAAAAACATGAAGAACTGTACATGGCAGGAAGCATGTGTGGGCAACAGGAGTTTGTCAAAGATGGATATCAGGTCACGGTATAAATCCTTTGTTTTATTGTTATCAATCTTACCTACAGAGAAAATTCAAACTTTAATTTCATAAATACATTTTTAGGGTTTTTTTTTTTTCAAGACAGGGTTTCTCTGTGTAACAGCCCTAGTTGTCCTGGA